CCCAAAACCCAAGTAGAATACATCCTAGTCCTATCTGATCCGAAAGATGCAAATCAGAACTACTCAAGACCCTATTCATGTCGGCTTAAACCTAACACGTTCTCTTAAAGCTCAATCCCAAAAAATAGGCCTTCCACTCATAATTTAAACAAAGGCTTGAAGGAAAGGTTAAGGTTTTCAGGGTGTGGTTAACTAGTCAAGGTTATGACCATCTACTTGGATCAACAAGAGAGTGGTAAAAAGAGGGAAAGAAGATCCAAGTATGTATACAAGGTATCCATGAGTTTAAAACAAATCACAACCAGATAATTATCAATTCAAGTTAAGGATAAGTAAAGGATGGCATCATATCAAAGCAAGCTTCAGTTTAGACTAGAATTCAAATCATGCGATCAATGAATGGTGCGGTCTCATTTCAAGCTCAAATGAAAGCATTAAACAAGTATGAACGAGGGCATTGGTGTTAAATCTAATGAAACAGCAAGTTCTTTGGTTATAATCATCATAATCCCCTATGCTAATGCAATGATCCTAAATGCAACAACCTTAAAGCAAGACTAATATGCAAATGCAACTATATGAACACTTTGTTTTTTAAAGGATTTTGCTGAAATTTTTCAAATTTTTGGGGGTTTTTGATGCACATAGATGAATGCAAGACTAGATGCTAAAAATTCTAAATAAGAAAATAGAAAACATGTCAAATGCTATCCTAAGCTCTCCCCCAAACTTAAATTACACGGTTCCTTGTGTAATAAAAATCTGAAGGAAGGCTTAGGATCAAAAAGAAATGATAAAAATGCAAGGTTGTATTTACAAAGTTGAGGGTAATTGAATTACCTCTTGGGTGGTCCAAACCACGAGCTCATGACGTCGAGGCCTGCTTCTACATGCTCGGTTTGGACATTTTCAGAGTCGACTGCGAGGTGATAGGCTGACCCGACTGGGCGTGAAGAGCCGGCCCGATCGGGTGTGCGTTCGGGTGAGGTGCTCTTGTCAGCTCCCGGTTCCCTTCTGGTTCTGAACAGACTTCTCCTCGGATCAAATGAGGCTCTAGGCGGGCTAACTAGTAGGTTGGATTTGGTAGGTGTCCTGACTGATGCACTCCTCCCCAAACCACTAGGCATGGCTGTAGTGGAGGTTGAGTCTCCAACCTTGTTCTGAAGCTCCTTAATCTGCTCCCCCATATCCTTAACTGTTCCGGCAAGATCCTTCACAATGTTTTTCAATGCCTTGATAGTCTTGCTTTGGAACTTGTTCCACTTCCTTTACCCCGTAATTCAACATCACAAGCTACCAATAACGGGGTGACTAGTCCACCAATACTGAGCTTTCCTTGCACACCTCTCCTAACAGCCTTTAATACCCAATCGTTGCAGTACATCAGCTGGTCTAACAAAACCAAGACCATGCTACCATCCGTTCTATCTCCTACTAGTTCTCTACTATCCCTAGTACTTGGCAATACACCACTCAGTGCTATATCTATGAGCTGGATCTCACTCTCATTCACATTCCCGGTTTCCTTTCTAGCAAAAATCATACTAGCCAAAGACTTATGGAAATACCTCACAGCTGGGTTTCGGATTTGGGCGCTCTTGGATTTCGAAGAGGTGTACTCCTTCCCATCTCCAATTGTTTTCCAAACAGACTTGATCTTCTCCTTAAGCACATCTTGGCTCATCCCGCTTGCTTGCAAGAACCCATAGAGGTTCTCAACTTCCTTAAACGTGAGAGAATAGGTAGTGCCCTTCACGCTGAAGGTGATGTATCCAAGGCAGTCATCTGCGTGAAACTCGGTTTCATCCTCGTAGAAATGGAGCTGAAGTGAAGCTAACACGTAACATGTCTCCTCGTCGTAGGCTTCCAAGTTTTTGGTCATGAATGAGCCAAGGCCGCTTCTCTGGAACAGAAACTCGATATCTCTTGCTATGCCCAGCTCCTTCATCGTTTGCCGGTGAGGATAGCGAGTTCCAACGAACTTTTGGCGCTTAAACATTGCATAAAGCTCTTCTGGAGGGGGCAAGTTCTTGGTCTTCCTTGGAGCCACTACCCTCCTAGGCTCCATATCCACCATCGATTCATCAACATCCTCTTCTGCAGGTCTCTTTCCCATCGAAACTTCTTCTCTGGAAATCGGGTGGGTCTTACCCGATCGACTCGCCCGATCAGGTGATCGAGTTCGTGCTCGGGCTTCTCTTCTTCCGCTTCTGACCCGATCGAGTC